AAAAATAAATAAATAAAATCTAAAAAAAAAAAAAAGAAAAGTTACTCCCTTTTCACTTTCCTTTAATCTCCCTGATTATGTCCAGGAGAAAGTTGGTTTGACAACTAACATTTGACATCTAACATCTACCACTTGGCTAACGGTTTTGAACCAAGAGAGAGCAGGCTTAGAGCCTTGAATAGACAATAGATAAAATTTACTGGGGCCAGCCGCGTAGTGTACTTAGTGGTTAAGTGCTCCGCCCCAGTGGGGGTGGGGGGGGTGGGACCGGGGTTCTCACGTTTGGATCCCAGGCGCAGGACCTAGAACTGCTTATCAGGCCATGCTGTGGCGGCGTCCCATATACAGTAGAGGAAGATAGGCAGGATGTTAGCCCAGGGCCAATCTTCCTCAGCAAAAAGGATTGGCAGCAGATGTTAGCTCAGGGCTAGTCTTCCTCACACACACACACAAAATATTTACTGTTATTTTGTTTTCTTTGAACTTAGTTCCACTGCACTTTTCTTTTTTTCCTTTTTGTGAGGAAGATCAGCCCTGAGCTAACATCTGATGCTAATCCTTCTCTTTTTGGTGAGGAAGAATAGCCCTAGACTAACATCTGTGCCCATCTTCCTCTATATGGGACACCGCCACAGCATGGCTTGACAAGTGGTGCATGGGTCCCTGCCCAGATCGGCACCTGCGAACCCCTGGCCCCCGAACCGGAGCTCGAGCACTTAACTGCTATGCCACTGCCGGCCTCCCACTGTACTTTTCTATGGCAAGTGATAATGAATTTCCATTGATGGCAGTGGTATGAAATTTCTTCTCAAACTTGTTTAATTGCTTGTGTATGCATAGAATACCTTTGAAAGGAAGTATGAAAAACTGGTGATCCTTGTTGCCTCCAGGGACTCTTTCTGGGTGGCTAAGGGAACTGGGATCAGAGGAAATTTTTTACTTTGTTATATTCTTCTTTACAGAATTTGAATTTTATGACCCAAAACGGAGACAGAACTTGATTAATGAAAAAATTATTAAATAAATAATAGCGCAGATGGTAGGGAGGATATGGCAAAAACCATAAAGGTCTTAAGAGAATGAATGAAGCTAAAGAAACGCTGTGTCAAAAACTGACAGGAGGGAAAAATAGCCTATTTATAGAAGAAACCCAGAGACCACGTGGTCTACCGCCGCCCTCCGCCTCAGTGAGGATTCGGCGCTGGTGACTGGAGGATCCACCTGCGCGTGCGCACAGTCTCCGGCCGGCCGCTTCCGCTGGTGCGTACTCCCTCCCCCACTGAGCGCGCGCGGAAACCGCACGCACGCCTGCCCGGGAGCGCGCGTACGCCCCGCCCCGCCCCGCGCGGCCCGCGAATCCCGCGGCGGCGACGCCTGGGTGTCAGGGCCCCGGGAGGTAATGCCCCTGAAGGCGGGGAACGTGGCAGAGGCCGAGGCGGGTGCCGAGGAGTACAGCCCTGAAGAGTACGGCCGGGAGGAGCCGGGCGCCGAGAGGGAGATGGAGGCCGGGCGGCCGCGGCCGGTGCTGCGCTCGGTGAACTCTCGCGAGCCGAGCCAGGTCATCTTCTGCAACCGCAGTCCGCGCGTCGTGCTGCCCGTGTGGCTCAACTTCGACGGCGAGCCGCAGCCCTACCCGACGCTGCCGCCCGGCACGGGCCGCCGCATCCACAGCTACCGAGGTAGGAGGGCCGGGGTCGCCCCCTTTGTCCCGGGGCGCAGCGAGCGCCTGCCCGCGCCCGTGCCGAGTTGTGCCCGGCGCTGCCCAGCGCTCGAGGCCTGATGACCACACTCACGGTGGCCCGATCTCACTGAAGCCCCTCCACCGTCCGGGAGGCAGGTGCTGATTCCCATTTTACGCACGAGGAACTGAGGCCCCAGAGAGGTGGTGGGATATCCAAGTTGACGCTGCTAGTAAGTGGCAGAGCATTCTTTATAAGACTGAATAATTTGCCTTTGATGGTGGTTGCCCCTGCCCCTTCTCTTGTATTTACCCCTAAAAGAAGTGCTCCATCCCTAATGCCCGTTTGTTCAGTCCGTGAATGGGAGAATCGCGATGTCGCCACTGGGCCAGGTCCGCGTAGGGTCCCTGCTTTTACGGGGAACAGTCCAGTGGAGGAGACAGACGAATGCGTAAACAGGTAAGAACAAGCCAGTGTCATAATTGCTTCGGTAGGAACCGCGCACAGCGGGCTGCGGGAGTTTGGAGCAGGCACCCGCTCAGTGAAGGGAGGGGGCGTGTGGTTTCAGTTAGTGAGAGCTTTCCAGAGAAGAGGGGGAGTCCTGCAGGATGAACAGGAGCTCACCAACCCAAGACAGAAGTGCGAGTTCTAGGCAGAGGGAACGGCGTGGGCTAACACCTGGAGGCTTGCGGGGAAGAGGAGAGGTTATGGAATGGTGGGAGAGGAGGCCCAAAAGGTGATTTTTACGCCTAGGGAAATGGACACCATTGAAAGTTTTTAAGCGGAGAAATGACACTGCCCGATTTACTTACTGGAAAGCTCACCCAGGTTGCAAAATGGTTTGGAGTGGGAAGACTACTAGTTAGGAAGCTGTTGTAATAACCCAGGTGAAGGATAACTAGGCCTTACTGCCTAAGGAGGCAGTAATCTTCCTTCCCATGACTATCAAGCAGAGTAGTCCTATTCTAGCTTTATTTTCACAACTATCCTGGGAGGATCCTGATGGATCGTTTTTTCCTTGAGGGTAGTATACTTAGTAAGCTAAAGCTTCTCAAACTTTTATACCAAACTTCCGCTAATATTAGATGAGGAAGAACACTGTTCTTCTCAGGATCAACATTTCTTTCTTTCTTTTATTTTTTTTTTGTGATGAAGATTGGCCCTGAGCTAACATCCAATGCCAATCTTCCTCTTTTTGCTGAGGAAGACTGGCCCTGGTCTAACATCCGTGCCCATCTTCCTCTACTTTATATGGGACGCCACCACAGCGTGGCTTTGATAAGTGGTGTGTCTGTGCGTGGTGGGGATCCGAATCTGTGAACCCCAGGCCACCAAAGCGGAGTGTGCGCGCTTAACTGCTTGGGCCACCGGGCTGGCCCCTGGATCAACATTGCTTTAGTCTCCTGTTTTATCTAAGAAATTGTGTGAATTTGCATTCTACTCCAAAATTTATCTGTGCCTGATTTAATATAAAGAATTTTTAAAATTACTTACCATGTGAATGTACTTAATGTCACTGAACTACACACTTAAAAAGTGATTGAAATGGTAAATTTTATGTTAGGTATATTTTACCACAATAAAAAAAATTACCAGTTTACATTTCTTAAATTTTCCACCAAATCTTCAGGTTAAGTTTATGTTCCGCGAACAGGTGCTATATTTATTCTGAGACAACCTGTTCCCTCCTTAAACAGGATCTTAGGCCTGGGGGTTTGCCTCCTTCCTCCCCTACTCCCCCTTTTTTGCATATGATGATTTTGTTTCTTAAATTCAAGTATAATTTACATACAGTAAAATGCACAGATCTTAGGGTTTGAGGAGTTTTGACAAGTGTAGCAGCACCTAGTATAGAGTAGAATGTTTCCCTCACCCCAGGAAGTTCCCTCCTGCCCCTTCCCCTGCAGTCCCCTCACTCCCAGAGGCAACCACTCTTCTTATTTTTCACACCACACATTAGTTTTGCCTGTTCCTGCAGAATTTACCCTTTTCTGTCTGGCTCCTTTCTCTCAACATGATGTTTTTGCACCTCGTTTTTGAGAAGCCCAGATGTGAGGAGTCGGTGACCTTTTGTCTCTCAGTTCGCAGCGTTTGCTGTGATTTGCTTTCCCACGGTGGTCGCAGAAAGGGCGTGGGATTTGGAGCCTCAAGTACATGCTCTTCTGCTTGCTGTCCCTGTGGCCTTGAGCAAGTCACTTGGCTTTTTCAGACCTATTTTCTCCTCTGTCAATGGGCCTATTGTGAGGACTGAATGAAATAATATTATTGGAAGGGCTTTGTGTGATAGTTAAGCGGAATGAGGCAAGCCTTTCCTGTTGGTCAGGGGAGATGGAGGAAATAGGTGTATGGCTACTTACCAGCCTCTGCTTGTCTTAACAGGTCACCTTTGGCTCTTCCGAGATGCAGGGACATATGATGGGCTTCTGGTTAACCAAACTGAACTCTTTGTGCCATCTCTCAATGTTGATGGACAGCCTATTTTTGCCAGCATCACACTGCCAGGTACTAATGTTCCATGTCGCTTTTTAAAGAGACAAGGCTGTTGTAATAAGTAGAGGATAGGCCACTTGAAGGAGCCAAGGCCTTACTGATTTTCCCCTGATGCTACGCCCTTTCTGTGCCCTATTCTACACCATAAATAATTTATTTGTATGCTCTATATTGAACAAAGATGCCATGATATCTCAAAGCTCTCTGGCCCTGTCAGAGGTAGACTGAATTAAAATATCTGATTGTAGAATTATGAATGCATTTTGTTTTCCTGGCCTTAGAGCAGAATTATGCCCTGGAGTCACAGGGGAAGAACAAGATGTAGAGAACGAGATATCATGTCTTATTTATATGACTTCTAGTGTTGTATCTTTTAATGTTATTTAACCTGGTTAACCTCACAGTGCCAATTAGGGGTTAAATAAATCACCAAATTAAACATTAGGATTATAGTTTACTATTTATTTAAGACTCAGATGATTTTATTAGGTTGAACCCTAAGAAACTGATGTTCCTGTGGGTTAAAAAAAAAAAAAACCCAAAATACCTGTAGCTTCATAGGGTCCAAACTAATATGTGTATATAGATCCTGTTTTAAGGAAGTGGGTATACAGAAATGAGCACTGATAAGTTAAATGTAAATTTTACCTTATAGGATACCCTTAAAGAGTAAGTTCCACAGTGAGTTTAGCATAGGGTTTGAGTTACTCTCAAATCCAGTTACACAGTTTGGGTTATCTGTTGCTGTGTGACAGCTACCCCAAAACTAACAACCATTTTATTTGTTCATAATTCTGCAGTCTGGGCTGAGCTCACTAGGTCGTTGTTCTGCTCATGGTTGTCATTGGTGTGGCCGTCTTCTGCTGGCCGGTGCGCTGGGGGCTGGGCCTCTCTCCCCTGTAGCCTCAGGGCCTGTCCCCCTTTGTGTGGTCTCTCCTGCAAGGTAGCTCAGGGCTCCCGAGAGCGTAAAAGCAGAAGTTGCCAGACCTTCTTAAGTCTTAGGCCCAGAACTGCCACAATGCCGCTTCACCCACATCCAGTTAGTTAGAGCACATTGCAGCCCAGCCACTTTCAAGAGGAATTTACTACACAAGGTCGTGCATACTTTGAGATGTCCACTGGAGCCATCGCGTTATACTCTTCCACAACACAGGTACTCACTTTTTTTGCCCAAAGTGAGTGGGTCTGTAGTAAATGTAATTACCATAGTTGGAAAGCCTCTTGCTCATCCCCCGGCCCAAGGCCTGAGTCTGCTGCTGAGGATTCGGTTTTCTGCCCTTGCAGTGTATACCCTGAAAGAGCGATGCCTCCAGGTTGTCCGAAGCTTAGTCAAGCCTGAGAATTACCGGAGGCTGGACCTCGTGAGATCACTGCGAAGATCTGGAAGACCACCCGAATGTGAGGAAAGACCTGGAGCGGCTGACAAAGGAGCATATTGAAAATCAGCGGATAGAAGGGGAGGCCAAAGATTTTAATTGAAATTTGTGCTCCCGAGTCTCAGCTTTTGATGGCACTGACTAGTCTTGACCTAGCTATAGGACTGGTCACTTATTCTCGGCTTCAAGGGGTCTCCTTCTTGCAGTAAAAAATGCTCCATTGCTTAAAAGAGTTAGGCATCGTGATGTTTAGGGGCAGATGTCACAAAATGTAACTTAATGTCTGCTCCTTCTAGAAGTATTTACCAAGGGAAAGCGGTGCATTTTTGTCTCCTAGTAAGTCAGGAAAGCTCCTGTGTAAGGACTTTTGGGTGAGTAATTCAGTGCGAATTGCAGCATCTTTAATTGTAGGAAAGCAGTGGCATCTGCTTTTAATTGTTGTGTTGTGCTGGCGATGCGGCCGTGTCCTGCTCTGAGACCGGGATGTCCTTGAGGCAGGGCAAGTCTGTCTCCTGTTGAGACCCCGTACCTCGCACACTGTGAGCCTTCAGTCAGTGTTTGTTCAAGACACAAACCAGTGGATATTTGGGTAGAAAATGTTTGGAGGTTTTGCTCTTATTGTGAGGGGAGGGGACCTTAAAGTATGTACAGTATATAAATGTTTTAAAGGGAATCATTTTTATAGAAAGCACTTTTTATAATTTTCTAAATTTTGTGCTTTTCTTTGTCCGCTGTTGTTGCAATGCTCTCATTTCTGTTTCTAAACCAGGATTAGCTTTCTACAGTTATTGTGATTGTGGCTTTTTTGAAACTTGACATCTGCACAGAACTTAATAACTGCACAGTTATTAAGAGAGAATAACTGTCCTCTTGTTTAGTTCTTGTGTTAAGGAGCTACTACTGTACTGTGAATGGGTTTTTCCAAGTGTGGGTATTTCTGTTCCTTTCTGTAAAGCTGTGACAGTTCTGTTGGGGTCAGCATTTTTCATCAGGCAGGATCTGGTGACCCTGCGTCTGGCTGGAGGAGAGGCCGAAGCCCTCCCACCTCTGGAAAGTTATTCCTAACACACAGTGGACTCAGAGTAGCCTGGAATGTTTCATAGTTTTATGAATGTACAAATCCTTTCTTATAGGCTGGACTTAAAGTCATTAACTCAAATTCAATACTTCTGTCAGGTTTCCTTTTTTGTAACTGATAGTTAAAAAAAAATCCTCCTAGTAGAGAAGATTTTGGACAGAAAAGTAAAAGGAAGAAAAAAGATCACTAGATACACTACTTAAATACAACCACTAACTTAATGTTTTGAACTTTTAGCCTCTTTTAGGGCATCTTTTGGTTGGTTTGGTTTTACATAGTTGAGATCATACAGAATATACAGTTTTGTATTCTGTTTCTCATTGAACTTTATAATTTTTTATTTATTTATCTATTTTTCCCCCAGAGCCCCAGTAGATAGTTGTATGTCATAGCTGCCCATCCTTCTAGTTGCTGTATGTGGGACATGGCCTCAGCATGGCCAGAGAAGCGGTGCGTCGGTGCGCGCCCGGGATCCGAACCCGGGCCGCCAGCAGCGGAGCGCGCGCACTTAACCGCTAAGCCACGGGGCCGGCCCTCATTGAACTTTATAACTTAAATCTTTTTCCATGGTATTAAAAGCTCTTCATAGACATTAGTACAGTCTTCCTTTTATAGATAATGTTGGGATGTTTCTTGGCAACTTTAGTTCCCCATGCTAACCTTTGGGCACGCTTCCTGTGCTCTGAAATTGGAGTGGAGTGAATGGAACCAACGCCCCCCAGTTTCCCCACTGTCCTCTGTTCACCTCATCTTATTCCTCTCTTTCAACATTTAGCAAATACGTCGGCCTTTGTTTTTAGCGTGTTTTAGTACTCATTCAGTGACACACCTCTACATGTCTAATTTTTTTGTTGAATTGTTGGGTAGGGAAGACGAGATGGTGGTATAGAAGGCAGCTGTATGAGTTTGAGAGTAGGATAGGATGGGGCATTTAAGGAAGTTGCTGGTGCTGGATTAGTTCAACATTGGGCTTTTTTTTTTTAAACCTGTCTTGATGTCAAAATGAGACTTCATGTTCCTCTTGTTTAAAACATGCAGTTTGAGTACTGTGTTTTTTGTGTTGTCCAAGGAAGATTGAAAACCTGTAGGATGAATAATACATGTTTTTCATTTGAAACCTTGTGAATGTATTAAATGTGTGGCTTTTAAGAGACTGTGATGTTTCCTATTTTGAGTTAAAAAAAGAAAAAAAGCTGTTCTTTGCTACATTAAATGGTGCTGAGTAAAGGAAATAAGGTGTGTCGTGGTGTTATTTTAACCAGGCTCTTCGCTCTTGGAGAGTTTTGAAAGCTGTGGTTGTTTAAAGGCTTAAGGTGGGGAGGTGGGTGGCAAATACAGACAACTAGCTTCATTCTCAGTCCCTTCTCTTTCCAACCCTGGATTTTTTAAAAACATTGTTTCTTTTTGCTTTCTTTTTATTGTAAAAATGAAATATCACTGTAAAAAAAATTTAAGCACTACAGAAAGGTATTAAGAAGAAATGTATTCACATTGGGAACAAAGGTGTTTTGTTTTGTTTTGTTCATGAAAACAGAACCAACCTTAACAGACACGTCACTGAAGAAGAGCTACAGATGGTAGCTAAGCCTGTGAAAAGGTGCCGCGCATCATATGGCATCAGGGAAATGCAAGTTAAAACAGCAGTGCGATACCACTACAGACCTATTAGAATGGCCAAAATCTGGAACACTGACACCGAATGCTGGCGAGGATGCAGAGCCACAGGAGCTCCCGCTCACTGCTGGTGGGAATGCAGAATGGTCCAGCCACTCTGGAAGACACTTCACTGGTTTCTTACAAAACTGAACATACTCTTATCGGGCAATCCAGCAATTGTGCTCCATGGTATTTACTCAAAGAAGTTGAAAACTTATGTCCAAAAATCTGCACATGGATATTTAGAGCAGCTTTATTCATAATTGCCAAAACTTGAAAGCAACCAAGATATCCTTCGTTAGGTGAATGGATAGATAAACTGGTACATCCAGACAGTGGAATATTATTCAGTGCTAAAAAGAAATGAGCTGTCAACCATGAAAAGACATGGAGGAAACTTAAATGCATATCACTAAGTGAAAGAAGCCAGTTTGAGAAGGCCACACACTGTATGATTCCAACCATATGACGTTATGGAAAAGGCACAACTGTGGGGTAAAAAGATCAGTGGTTGCCGGGGTTTGGGGGGAGGGAGGGGTGAATAGGCAGAGCACAGAGGATTGTTTAGGGCAGTGAAACTATTCTGTATGATACTATAACAGTTGATATATGACATTATACGTTTGTCCATACTTAGAGAATGTACAACACAAAGAGTGAACCCTAAGGTAAACTATGGAGTTTGAGTGATAATGACGTGTCAGTGAAGGTTCATCAGTTGTAACACATGTACCACTCTGGTGAGAGATGTTGATCGTGGGGGAGGCTGTGCGAATGTAGGGGTAAGTGGGTATGGGAAATTCCTGTACCTTCCTCTCAATTATGCTGTGAACCTAAAACTGCTGTAAAAGATCAAGTCTGTTAAAAAAAAAAATGAACCAGAAAGCTAAGTGGTTAATATTTCACCAACACTTACATTGAGAAGGTGGTAAAAGGACAGGGCACTGGGCTAGAAATCAGTGCACTAAGGATATGAGATAAATACCAGTGTTTTGCACTCTTGACATATGAACAACACCAGTGTGAACTTTTCAGATGCTTACACGCTGGGTTTCTGTATCCCGTTCTTAGCACTTCAATCCCCTCCATGCTAGTTGCTGGGTTGCCTGATTTCCCCTTTCTGTCAGCGCACCCAAACTCCCTGCCCCAACAAACATTTTCCTGGGGGCTCCCCCCTCAGCACATATACCCAGTAATCCATTGGCAGATGACAGAAAAATTAGACATACTTCTGATGGTCATCAAAAGGACTGGGCAATAGCACTGGATATATAAAAGAGAGAGAAACCCACAAAACTTGTATCAGAATTCAGAACATGGAACCTCGGAAAGTATGTCAGCTTAACATACAAACAAATAGCAGTATGCTCTCTCCCTATTCAGATAGAAAACAAAAAAGATTATTTTGTTCCATTTGGGAGAAGTTGAGTCCTAGAGGACTGGGGCCGGCCCCAGAAATGTTAATAACAGACTAAGATTACCGAAAGACACAGAAGAAATCATAGTGAACCATTTTATCTTCAGATACATTGAAGGAGAGTTAATTGGGCAGAGGACAGCTTAGTAATTTGCTTGATAGAGAGTGACATGAGATGACATTCTTCACTTGTGGGAGGGTGATCATTTACCTAGGTCCACCGCAAGAATGTTGCGAGTGCTCCCTGTGGTTATCCAGGGCTCACAAGCATCAGGTGGGAACAGAAGGTGAGGGTTATTCTAGCAGGTCTGGAGCAACTACTGGCAGCAGGGAGGAATTTCGAGGGTGGTCTGGTGTGCCCCTGGGGCAGCAGTTCTCCAGATACTGGTGTACGGTTTTCCTTGATAGACCTTAGGATTCTCCTACCCCTGCCATAGAAGAGAAAGCAGACCCCTCTGGCACATACCCCAGTACTGGAAATAAATGTACATTGATAGAAGATTGGCCAAATAAAGTATGGTGCTCCTTGACAAGCCATTAAAAAGGAAGAGGTACATGCTTATTTACTGACATGAAAAGCTATTTATTATGAATTGAAAAAAATTTACAGAAAATTAAATGTTTTTAAATTTTTCATGTTTAAAAAATTAATTTTATAAAGATCTAAAAACATGGGAAAGTATATATTCCAAACTATGAATGGTGGTCTATCAGGGATGAGACTGTGGGAAGGTGTTTATTTTCTCTCCCTCTCTCTCTCTCTCTCTCTCTCTCTGTGAGATAATAGAAAATATATATTGGTCTCTGCCCTCAGTTCCTGGCACAGACCTCCTAAAACACTTGTAAATTCCTACATGATAAGAGCACTAGGAGCATCTCTTGTTCTAATGAGGGGACTCTAGGTGGGCGCCTGAATGGGGGCTGGTCATCAGAAAGACTAAGCCATGATTAGAAGCTTGGAATTTTCAGCCCCGCCCCTTCTTCAGAGAGGGGAGAGGACTGGAAATGGAGTTAATAATTGATCACGCCTATGTGAGGAAGCCTCCATGAAATCCCAACGGTAGGGGGA